TACAAATCTGAGATATGGTGGTTTTGTACACTGCAATACACACACAGGAGCTGTTTTTCGTCGGTACAGTCTACATCTTTCGTTTCGCGTAGGTGTCGCATTTCTGGCGGCTTAAATTTACCATGGCAACGAGCGCACATAATCTACGTCACACTCCATCATGGCAGCTTGCATATTGTAAATATATGTAATGGAAGCTTAACGCAGATTCCTGCCGAGAAAGCATCGTATGTTTGGTCTTTGCAGCAACCTTTTGGCTGATTTCTGTACTTCCATAAAATTTTATATATCTAGATTGTTAGTTGGCAAGCATGAACTCAGATGTGGAAGAGCTGATGCCCAAACTTCTCCCGGTAGACCCATGTGATCCTGAAGATGTTGATCTCAGCGAACCTCCGAGGACCCCTCAGGAATATTTAAGACAAGTCCAGTCAGTCGTCGCTGCGTACCTTTAATGTACTTGTTTACAGGCTAGGAGATTGCAGTTACAACGGTCGGGATCAGTCATTTGAATTAAACGATCTCGTGTGTGTATGTTTTAGATTGGAAGCGTCCCTTTGCCCAGATGTGGTTGTGGCGCAGATAGATCCCAAGAAAATAAAAAAGAAGCAGACTGTGAACATTTCTGTAAGTGAGAGACTATGCTAATTATTTACTGTTTTGGGGTAAAGGGCATTTCTTCACTATGTGTGGCGTATGTACAATTATTGTGTTTTTTTTCTGTAGTTTACAGGATGTCAGGCAGCTCCTGTGGGGTTCTCACCGAGTTTTAGATGGCAGCAGCAGCAAGTTAGCAACTTTTCCGCAATTAGACAGGTAATCGTAGTTGATGTTTCCTGTGATCCTGAAAAAATTAGTTACTTGATTTTTAAAGCCACGATCCTGTATTTCCAGAGTATTAATAAACACAGAGCACATTGGAAGGCCCAGTCCTTGGATAACAATGTGATAATGGTATGTACAAAAGCTGAATCCAATATTTGATGACCATTTAGCTAAGCATAGAACTCTTAGTTCTTTTGTTATAACATGCATGAGATGTATATTTTAGCCAGAATTAGAGGATGAAGAGGGATGGAAGAAATTCTGCTTGGGGGAAGACATTTGTTGTAACACATCACCGACAGCTGCAGGCAGTGAGCATCCGGGCCTGGATTACACTAAGGTAAGTGCGCTTCCTAAAATATGACTTCAGAATCGAGACTGTGTGAAAGCAGGAATCCTATAAAGTGTGCACAGCAAAATCCATGCCTTTCTGTGCTGTCCTCATCAGATTGGGTTCCCTCCATTTCTGAGCATTGTTAGCAGGCTGAATCAGGTGAGAATGCGAATGCACTAAACATTTAGCTGTTACCAAAGCTTGTGATTGCTCTCAGCACCCATCATGGAAACCTATCTTCTGCAGGCCACTGTTTCTGCAGTGCTGGAGTACCTGATAAACTGGTGTGAGGAAAAGGAGTTTGTCCCACAGTTGGTAAGCAGGGTTGTCCTGGTGAATTGCCTGGCCGGTGTTTTGTGTGAATAATAAAAAGAGGCCCTTCTGTGTTTCAGGGAAGGTGGCTGTATGCACTGTTAGGCTGCCTGGAGAAGCCCCTTCTTCCTGAAGCCCATTCGCTCATCCGGCAGCTGGCCCGCCGCTGCTCGCAGGTCCGAGCCGGCCTGGTAAGTGATCCGTTTTCCCATTTTGCAGTTGCATGGCAATGATAAAGCTTTTGATGCTGATGGATGGTTTCGGTTTTCCTCCCTGTGCAGGAGAGTAAGGAAGATGAAAAGCTGTCAGCCCTGAACCTCATGATTTGTTTGGTTGGCAGGTAATGTGACCAAGTACCATGCTGAAGAACAGAATCTTTCACGCTAGAGTGAGTGCTGTGGAAATGGCTTTTGTTTCTCCTTGCAGGTACTTTGAACAGAGCGACTTGGCCGATAATGAATGATGGTGATGTTTCAAGTCAAAAAGACCAGGAAAAGTTCAAGGAATCCTGTTATGTAGAGAAGTTGGGATTGATACACAGAACTAATTTTTACGTTTGTCTTTTTAAATGTTATTTTTCACTGTTTTCATGGAAAGTTTCAGGTAAAAAACAATTATAAAATGTCAAATATATTTTCAGAAAACTATGTAATAGCACAGAATACGAGCATAATGTGTATTCTTGTCAACGGTACAGCCACTGATTTGAGATCGGTTTCCCTGAATTTAAAAGCAGCAGTAATAAAGTGTCACTTAAATGTTCTGATCTGTTTTATAAAGGCACATTTCTTTATAAACAATAAATTACTCCATACCACAAAATGCGTCTTGTCTAATGAAAGTAGTTTGCAGGTATGTTGTCGCTGGTCATTTAGTCGGAAGCAAGATTTATTTTGTCTTCCACGGCCCTGAAATGTATGCAAATTACAGCACGTTAACATCACGACTCCGTCCATCTATATAATAAACTCCGGCATTGGTCTAAGCGTCCCGCCCCGTGTTTTCTGATTGGCTTTCATTAAATAATTGAATATTTTCATTGGGTAAAACGGTTGTCAATCAGCGCGACCACCAGCCACCGGGCTGCGCTAGGATTCCGTTAGTGGATTTTAGCTAAAATGGCGGTCGCTGTGCGAACTTTACAGGACCAGCTGGAGAAGGCGAAAGAAAGCCTAAAAAGCGTAGACGAAAACATTCGCAAATTGACTGGCAGAGATCCCAACGATCTTAGGTAAGTGCACGTTAACCTGAAAGTTAGACTGGTGGACACTGATCCGCAGCGGTGCAAGGAAGGGTCATTTTACCTGCGTGCAGCAGATGAGAATGGTTTTCAGATAGTGGGAACGCTGTAGTGATGTAAAGCGGCCGGAACCGCAGGAGACGCATGCCACATCCGACTGTGGGGTGCCTAACGTAACCTCATTGGGTCCGGATTGCAGTAATAATCGGATTCGTCTTATTTTCCCGGTACGGCACGGAATCGCTTCAATTAAGTGCTGGATTAGTGATACCTGATGCGTCTCGCCTATCGATCCGAAGCTCATCCCGTTGTGTAAGGCTTTGGAAATCCAACACATGCTGTTGGTTCTGTTGAACCTGACGATAACTCCGACATTGCTGCCTACGTTCCTCCTAAAGGCACAGACCTAAACCCCGTTAAACACTAGGGGAGAGAGGGTGTGTCCTAAACCCAACCTTTTCCCCATAACACTGAAGCCAGATCAGCAGTTATATGCAGCCAGGTGGATTTGGAAGGTCAAAAAACACATTTCATAATGTTTGTTCAAAAGACATCTATGACTGACTGTCTTCCTTGTTCTCATCAGACCTGGCCAAGCCAGAAGGCTAGCCCTCTCAGGCCCAGGTGGAGGTAGGGGGCGAGGAATTGGTCTGTTGAGGTAAAGTATTACCATGAGCCTGTCATCAAATAATAGAAAACATGACATTTTGCGTGCTATGCTAGGACTGTACTCACACCTAAAGACAATGTTTGGTGTCAAGGCGTGGACTCTCAGAGAGTGGAGGAGGACCCCCAGCTAAGCAGAGGGACATCGAAGGGGCACTCTTGAGGTGAGGCTGCCTCCCCCCACATCTTGTGTGTTGCTGGGGTATTCCGACAAAGGTAGTGTGGTCTAACCCCCGTCTGTGTCCCCACAGGCTTGCCGGCGATCAGCGAGGGAGGAGAGATTCACGCCATGACAGCGACGCCGAGGATGATGATGATGTCAAAAAAGTAGGCCCCGCTAATGTTTTCAGGGGAGTGCGGCGTGCCTGTGGACCAGTGTCGGGCCGCGAACGGGTCTCTCATACGTATCCTTTCGCCAACAGCCGGCGTTGCAGTCATCCGTTGTTGCTACCTCCAAAGAACGAACACGCGGAGATCTAATTCAGGACCAAACGATGGATGAGAGGGGAAAGCAAAGGTAGCGAGTGTCTGACAAACCTACAATCGGTGCTGATGATGGTGCATGCACTTGTGTATATTCATGGCATTCATTCTCCGGCAAATATAATTCAAGACCAGAGGTGGATAGTTGAGGTCCAGAAAGTAAAATCACAGACAGAGATTTTGTTTCAACTAATCAGTTCTCTCATTCTGTGACTCTTTATGTTCAGCAGATTGGTTGAAATTAAACCCTGGTCAGTATTTTTTCTTTCTGGACATGAACTATCCACCTCTGTTCAACACCAGTTTGACCTATGTTTGACAGCACTTTACGGTGTTGCGTACTTAACTCTGCTTGTTTTGATCGGCTACAGGAATCGACGTATGTTTGGCTTGTTGATGGGAACCTTACAGAAGTTCAAACAGGAGTCCTCTGTAGACAGTGAGAAGGTGTGGCTGTTCGGACAGCGTCATCCCCTAGGCTGATATATAGAGCTTTTTCAAATTATTGTTAAACTGTTAAAATCACTTGCTTTGCAGCAAAAAAGGCGTTTGGAAATTGAGCAAAAGCTAGAAGTGCAGGCAGAACAAGAGCGCAAGAAGATCGAGAACGAGAGACGAGAGCTGTTTGAGGAGAGACGCGCCCAGCAGACACAGCTGAGGCTCTTGGAGCAGAAAGTGGAACTCGCTCAGCTGGTGAGGGCCCTCTGCTGTTGTGGATGGCTAAATGCACGCCCTCTTCTGCGTTAACTCGCAGGCGCCCTGTCTTTCAGCAAGAGGAGTGGAATGTGCACAACGCCAAGATCATAAAATATATCCGCACAAAGACCGAGCCTTCTGTTTTCTACATTCCTGCCAAGATGTGCTCAGCCACTCAGAAGCTCTTGGAGGAGTCTCAGAAAAGGATGAATGGTAAGCACCAGACGGCCCCGTCTCGCTTTCACCGAGTCGTCTGGACAGGCTCGCTTGTTCCGAGTGTTCAGTTTGGCGAGAGGCTGATCTTTTGTTTTGATCCTTCAACAGCCATGTTAGAGGAGAGGCGTGAGGCCTTTGCAGAACACCTGAACAAGATGGAGGCTCGGCCTAGACGGCTACTGCTGAGAGTCAGGGACCGAGGGGAGCCCCGTGGCGGAGCCCCGAAGACTGAAGAGCGAGAGGAGGGTAAGGCAACGGGGCAGGAGGGGGAGCTGCAGGTGACACGTAACCGTGGTGATGTAGGGGGGGAGGGGGAGGTGGGCATAGCGCAGAATGTTCAGGAGCGGCAAGCTGAGATGAAGGAGCAGATGGAGGAGGGTAAAGGGGGCGGTGAGGAGGAGGAGGAGGATGGTATGGGGCTGGAAGAAGGCAGGGAGCTAGAGGTGGAGCAGGAGGAGGTGGAAGCAGAGGGGCAGGTAGAGGATGAGGAGGGGCAGGAGAGCGTAGTGCCAGTGGAGATGGAGGTAGGTAATGAGAGCAGGGAAGTTGAGGTTGAAGCTGAAGGAGATAAGCAGCCCCAGGCAGAATATCCCCACGAGCCCGGGAGCCTGGAGAATGGCTCAGAGTCCTGCCCCGTACCCGGCCGGTCCGTGGAACCCGACGCCGCGGGAGACTCGGGTCCAGCCCTGCTGGCCCTGCCACCCTTGCGGGCCGGGCCTGAAGCTGGCAGTGAGGTCGGTGAGCGTGGCCAGACGGCCCAGCCCGAAGCGGAGGGCCCAGCCAAGGCCCCCGACGCCCCCGCTGGCGGCCGGGGCAGGACCGCGGCCAGGGACAGGGTGCGGAGTCGGAGCAGCAGCTCCAGCTCCAGCGGCTCGTCCGGCTCCAGCGGCTCGAGCAGCTCCAGCAGCAGCAGCAGCTCATCCAGCAGCCGAGGCCGCGGCCACGCCAGGGACAGGAACCGGAGGGGCGGGACCTCCAACAGGGACAGGAAGAGAGGGGGCGCGCCCACCACAAGGAGGCGCAAGCCACCCAGAGGTGGTGGCCGGGATGCCAAAGGGTCTAAGGACAAGAGCACCAAGGCGGACAGGAAGAGGATGCACTGTGAGGGCAGCCGGGCAGGAAAGAGGCCCCCTCACAAGTCAGACAGGAAGGAGAAGAGGCGCTGAGGCAGCACGTGTAAGCAGCCTTGGAGGAAGATGGCTTGTGACAGAGCAAGGGGAAGGCTTTCCTCTGCAGATAAGCAAGCAGACTTTGCATTGCGTATTCCTTTTTAATTCTCAAATTCAATCACATTACACCTGCTAATGTTTAGTCCTCGCATGGGTTTTTCTATTGTTTTACTTCCCTACACTTAGTAGTATCTTCAATCTACATGCTCAGTACTCTGCTCCAAGGAGGGAAAGGTCACTTAAATGTGTTTTTAAAAAAAATAAATAAAACTGCAGCTTTAAAAATTAATGTGTCAAATTAATGCAGACAAAATGTAATTAATTCATTACCAGGTAGTTGTTGAGCTCTGATGCCACAGCGCCCCCTGCTGGACTCAGATTCATATACAGCTTGGTCCCAGTCACCCTAGAAACATTGTATTTTGGTGTACTTTTGTAAATATTGCTCCATTTTAGCTCTTAATTCTTCATTCAGTGTCTAGTCTTACAAAGAATGATTTATTTAAATCGCTTCTCTTACAGGAGCTTTTTTGTACCAGTGCATCACCTTCCTAAATAAAGCGGGTTGGTCTTTTCTGTCCTCCATTCTACAGTGCCTTACACGCATGACCATATACTTTATTTAACAGATGCTTATATCCAAAACGATGTACAAGGCAAATAGCATATTACAAACAAATCAAGGGGTGGATTAGGCATAAAAGTGCAGTTTCTGGCGTTGTGTGTCATTTTACAGGAAACCTGAAGACTGGTGATTCAGTGCAGTTATACTAACAGGATCAGCTGGGCTGCACTGTCTAACTGATTATCTCTTGGTTAAACACCCCAAATAAGTCACCCTCAGCATGTTCTACAACAGGCCACAGCAACAAGCCATCAAAACTTGTAGCAAAGCTATACTGCAAAAAAAATAAATAAATAAAATAAATCAGATATAGAATTTACCCAAAATCAGGTCAGAAATTTGCATCCACTTATTTTGAGTAAATTTATTCGCATTTAATCTGAGTAAAGTTTACCTGTACTATTCACATAAAACCCTGCATATCAGGTAACTTCTAATATTTCTCAGTATATTTAACCTTCTTCCTAAATGTAAAATTGCTTTTCAAAATTAGTTAAGGTAAACATATCTATTTCAAACCTAATACTTAAAATTTTATTATAGAAGGTTTTGTAGATTATGCTCAAAGGTATAGGGATGAGGAGGGTCATGTATCCCCCAATATTTGATTTGGCTTCAGCCCCCCCAAACAGGAATAGACCTTTGCATTTAAATTATTAAGTAGCCCCCCACCAATATTAAACTGTCTCCTGTGCCCTATCATTTATATCATTGCCAATTTAATCACTCGTAAGGCGCAATAGGAATCATGTCAATACTTTATTAATCAATTAAGGAAAGAAACAAACATCTGTAGCTAAGAATGAGACTTAAACAGCAAGGAGCAGGGGCACTTCTGCACGGAGTCCTGCACAGCTGGGCTGAAGCTGATCGTGTTTGGGCCGGTTCCTGCTCTCCCAGTCCTCTTCACTGGGGGATTAGTTACAAGTAACAGCACTCAACCAGACACCAAATTGAGTTAGTAGATGTAAAAGCTTTAACATATTAATACTGACAAAAACAAAAACAAAGTTTAGCTATTTATTTAGTATGTACAACAATCAGCACAACCACATACACAGACTATGTTTGTTTTTACATGGAATATACTCTTGGAGAATTTTGTGACAGGTGAAGTACTACTGCAGTCAGCCACTAGGTGTCAGTGAAGCCTGTGCTTCCAGCTTCTTCCGGCCACATTCCCTGAAGCAGCCATCATGCCAGACTGTGATAGGTCAGCTGGCTGCACATGGCTGGCTGCAGTCACAGTGATGTACTCTAATGTGACATGACTACCTACTGTCATGTTAGTTTTGGACTTCCCAGAAAAAGTTCCTTTCTGTTTATGAACTAAGTACCTGAGCAATTGTGTAAAACAGGGGCCCTGTTGTTGACCACATCTTACGGGCTGGGAGCCGGTTAGCAGTAGAGGGCAGGAGTTTCTCTGACAGAGACTCGCAGATGAGCCGTCAGGCCTCGGTAAGCTCACAGAGCCAAGTTGCTGCATAAATCCTTTGAGGGGAAAATGCACGATAAACTGTGGCGATAGTCTGAGGGGGGAGGGGCAGAGGAAATGGAGCTTGGGGGGGGCAAGGCACAAGGAAAGGGGCTTCTTGCAGGGGCCCTTTTATTAATTAGCTGAGCAGTAGGCGGCAGCTGCTCCGGGTATACAAGTGCAAACTTTACACAGCGCATAGCACTGTGAAACAACCTAGTAGGACTGGCTGTTAGCAGCTGTGACCGGCTTGCCATTACCGGCTCTGTAACCTGTGTCCCGCAAAACATAAATCAGGTCAGAACAAGAGGTATCATGAGTCAGCAGTCTCACTATTCTGCAGTAACTAGATGGCTTAATCTTCCACTAAGACAGAGGTGTTAAGCAGATTTACATTATATTAAGACTGTGAGTATGGTAGCAGTGGCAATCAGTTTGTATATTTACTAGATGTGTAGTTTCATGCTCACATATCAGTCTTCATTTGTCAACAGTTCCACCTAGTGGTCCTGCTATCTCACACAGAAACAGGCTGCATACAGTCCCATGACACCCTAGGTAACGTATTTCATACCAGCGTCAGCTAGTCACCAACGTCATCGACCGATTTGCGTTGCAGGTAGTGATGGCCAAAACGACGACTCATGAACTATCTGCCATGTTTTTTGACCCTACTTCATGGTAGTCTTGCCATGCATTGAGCCCTTTTTTGAACAGACAGCACCATCTAGTGGGGTCAAAAAATATAGCAAATGGTTCATGAAGCATCGTTTTGGCCATACTAAGGATTGCGGGCAATGGCTTTGTGAGCTCAGCAGCGTCATATTAGTTACCAGTCCTGAGGTGCATGTATGCAAACACCTCCAGCAGCTCCCCCCTCATACACTCTGTTTATTCAGCAGAGTTAAATGGGGCTTTAAATTGTGGCACAGGGTCTGCTGATAAGGGCTTTCCTCTAATAACACGCTAACAGGGTCACTGGCAGCCAGCTTGGTGCTTGAGGCCAGGCCAAATGGATGGCAATGGTGTCCCACAGACCTGCACGCAGCCTCCCTGGCTCACGCTGCCGCATCCTGCTGCTTTCCTGGGCTCCAGCAACCCCAGTGGTTGTTGGCTGCAGAATTCCATTATTGTTTGGCATCTACCAGGCAACATAATCATGTAATGTAGTATTTATTTTTTACAATGTTATTTTCTGTTTATAGCACATCACCCACATATACAACTTAGATTTGAGCATGACCATTATCATTATTTATTTATTCATTCATTCATTCATTTTTTAAGGTCTTGTCTTAGCTAAAGTTATGTAAATATAACTATAAATGTTTATGTACACCAAGGAATGTATATTGTTTGCATTTCAAGGCTTATTTCATGTCATGTGCAAACAAATAAACGGCAATGAAACAAATAAACAAACACACTGATGAATGAATAAATAAAGCCAGCCATAAATATTTAAATAAAAACAGAGACAACAATTTTAGCAGATTTGTTTATGCATTTAATATCATTATCATTTATTTATAGCCACATTTCACAATACACTTACTAATTTACACATTATTTAATAAAGAATAACTCCCCCATACGAATAATCCCTCCATACATAACACTCCTGTGATTTTAGTTTCTAGGTGTACAGTCCCCACTCCAGATTTGCGACTTGCGGTTTTGCTCATTCGCAAATTAGCTGTGAACAATTAAAGAGGAATATTTTTGGAACTTGGCAAAAGATCCCAGAAACTCGCAGAAGACGCATAGCCCAAAGACTGTAAACAATACTGAAATGATTTGATTTGTTAGTGTATGTACAGGAGAATCCTGTAATAACTTAATAACAACTCAATTTTAAACACCTTTGAATAGCTAGACAATTTTCTGATATGCACTCATGCTGAAGACATTGATTTCATGTATAATCTCCACCAGTTCACGGCCCAGTTGGATACAGCTATTCGTACCTGGGACCTATCTGGGCCATAACCCTTCAGAATGTTGGCAGTACCATAAACATTGTGCCCCAGAGGCCAGTTCTAATACCATAGTGCCACAAAGGATGACAGGCAGCAGTGAACCATCATGGCCGCCTTTAATCTTTCTAGGTGCGAAACTGGAAAGGAATTACATGCATTGGTATGCTTTAATACCATATTTACAAAAGCAAATTATAATGCAATACAGTATTTACTCAGTTCTTTATGCATGTAGTAGATTCAGTTATCTGTTTTCATTTTTCTTCAGTCACAAGACTACAAATGCTGTTCGCTACAAAAGAAATGCGTTATAGACTATGCAAATATTGTTCAAAAACTTCATCTGCTCTACACTGCCTGATACACTAGACCCTCTTCAATTCACATATCTCCCCAGAACAGGTCCCCACTCGCAACACTAAAGCCCTGTATTCCGCATTGCCCTCTGCCACCTGAACAAGAGGGAGACATATATTAGAATGTTGTTTTTGGATCACAGCTCAGCATTCAACACCATGGTTTCCTCCAGGCACGACAGGAAACTCTGACCACTGGGTCAGAATGGCTCCCTCTAAAGCTGGATCCTGAACTTTGTCGACCCCAGGCCAGGTGGTCAGACTGGGCGATATCGATATTACTCCCTGACTCTGAAGATGGGTGTTCCCCTGGGGGGTGTATCGAGTCCTATTACACAATGGTGGTGGACCTTATCTCCAATGAGGACAGCACTACATACGGAGAGGAGGTCAGAGCCCTGACACAGTGGTGCTGGGAAATCTGCCTTTCCACACTCCCATCACCACTAACAGATCTGCTGTGGAGAGAATGAGCAGCTTCAGGTTCCTCAGGTTACACGTCACTGACGGCTTCATGTAGACCATTCACACCAGCAACGCAGTGAAGATGGTCCAGCAGCATTTGTTCTACTTCTGGCAACACTAAGTTTTGCAGGAAGCAGTGCGGCCGGCAGGGAAAATCATCAGAGGTCTCTCAACACGGACAAGGGACGTGGTCAGAGATGGATGCTGGGGTCGGGAAGCAGGGCAGTCTGTCCTGGAGAGCGAAGTGAAGGACAGGAATTTTTGCAGATGCATTCGCACCAAGCAGCACAAGAGGGAAATCAAGTAAATCAGGAGAAAGCAGAGCAGAAATGGACTCATTTTTGCGACATAGCCTACAATCAATTCCTTGTAAAAGCTAGAATCGGTTCAACCAGCTAAATATCATGCTCAGTTACTGAAATGAAGATCGGGACCCATTTGGGATTCATCTTCACAAGGGGTGTGCTTCCTTTCCTCCAGGACATATGCATGATCTGCCTACGACTTAATCCCCGTTTGGCCGGCAGAGGTTACATGAATGTAAACAAATATTTGTTCACAGCCCTAATGTGTCAACCATCCTCACTTGTCACTAGTTTGTTAATTGTGCTCCGTGTATAAACTGTATATATGAGCCTGCCCTTGCCTTCCTTCCCTGATTGGTTGTTGTGCAGGTGATTGGTACTAGTTTTTGTCATCTCTGTAGTTAGTAGTCAGCCCATGTTAATTCCTTTAGTTCCCTGTGTCCTGAATACTTTATGGTTCCTCCTCTCTATTTTGGCCCCTCGTGGTCTTTTGGTTTCCCTTTTCTTGTGTATTTTTAGTTCAATAAAACCCGACTCCCAAAAGCAGTATATTGATTGTCACTTTCTCTTGTTGCCCAGTCGTGACAGAGAATTACAACTAATAAAAGCCATGCAATAATCTCTAATTTAGCCGACTTCAAGAACCGATGTGAACATCAAATCGTTCTTATAAAATAAATACATAAATAAATGGTGTCATTTAGTACTTCGATTTCAAATCTAAAACCAGATTGATTCAATACCATAGCTGTAGTCATGTTTCTGCAACTATGTTCTTATGGAGAAAGTGCTGTCTGAATTCTTTTTTTGAAGTGAACCTATTGTAGAATGTTTGGAGGATGCTGCTTGGACAGAGTGGTTTTGGGTCTGTTTATGCTGGCACTCGAAAGAGACATGGCTTCCCAGTAAGTGACCAACTGGCACAGTGAAAACATGGATAGTAATATCTTGCCAGAGATCCATGTTACAGACACCTATAAAAACTGATGCCTTCTCAATATACAGTATACTACACTAAATTTGTTGTTGATTTTTTTTCCACTCTAGGTGGTCATCAAGTATGCCAGAAAGTTAGAAATGGTAAGTGTCTTGAACCATGGTTTTATTTTGATTTCTGCCTAGATGTATATATATCCTGCCCTCCCTTTCATAGGCCCATCCCCCAGAAGGTGGTGTTGATGATGCATATTAGCCTCATTGACTGGTTCGATGGACCCAGTCAGTACATTTTAGAAAGACCTCACCTATGCCAGGATATATGTTAAAGATTTTTGTGAAAATAATGGTAGGTTCCTGTTTGCGGATCTTGCCAGACACGTTCTGGTGCAGGTGCTCCAGGCCTTGTGTCACTGCCAAGATTGTGGCTTCCTGCACCGCGACCTGAAATCAGAGAACCTATTGACACTATACAGGTCAAACTAATTGACTTTAGCTGTGGAGATGTCCTGAAGGATTCCCCCAACATTGAATCTGCAGGTCAGTAAAAGAGACTAATTAAAAGCCTGTGGAACCAACCGCTTTAGGGTTTAGGGTAGCTGGTAACCCGGTGATTAAGAATCTGGGCTTGTGGTAAAACTTTTGTTGTATTCTTGGGTTCTAATGTAACTTGCTTCACTAAAAAGCAGCTTCATGAAAGATTTTGTGAGTTATTTACATTATTGTATCTGAGTGTTTCAAGGACGGAGGACTACCTTCTCCCAGAGTGATACCCAGGTCCCTACTGGGAGTGGGCAAAAACGTGGACTGTCAGTGGTTCCCCGAGGACCAATTTGAAAAACATAGCCCTAATCTATAGAGTAGTGATGGACAAAATGACACTTCATGAACCATTTGCTGTTTTTTTTGAGGTTGTGGTTTGGTTTCATGCTTTGTGCCAGTTTTGTACAGAGAGCTCCATCTAGTGGGGTCTAAAAATACAGCAAATGGTTCATGAAGCATCATTTGTCCATCACTACTATAGAGTGGATCTATATTAGCACCGTACTTTTGTCAGCTATAAATCATTCCTAGTAATTTACTAACCTGAGGAAGGCTCTCAGCTCCTTCACATAGATGACAGCCCTGGCTATTCAGTACATGTCCCAGCTATTCAATCTACTTGTTTCCAAATTCATACTTGGACCTCTTCACTCGCATTCCATTCCCTTGCAATCTCAGCAACACCTTCTGTAGCTTCTGCAAATGCTCCTGTTCATTTTTCCCTGTATGGAGATCGTCCAAGTAGATCACTGCATTAAAGTCTCTCATCAGGTTTTCCACGATTCTTTGAAAAATGGGAGGTGCTAATCTTTCACCAATAGCCAATCGGTTATATGTGAATAGCCCTCAATATGTCGATGGTCAGTGGTTTCTTGCAGGTATGCCGAGGCGAGGTCATTCTTGGAGAACGCCGCCTCTCTGCTGAGTCAGGCGATCCGGTCCACAATCCATGGCAAAGAGTAGGTCTGCAGGGGCATCCTTGTTTACTGTTAATTTGTAGTTCATGCACAAACAGTGCTGCTTTTTTCCTGACATTGCTGATCCAGTGCTGCCCACTCACTATGTTTTACTGATATAATAATGTTAGCCTTCTCCAAAAGATCCAGCTCAGCATCAACTGGCAATGGGATCTTTTATAAATCTTTGGAGGAAAGTCAGGATTCCCCATGAACGTTGCCTTGTTATCATGCAGCATGCCCAGTTCATCTTCCAACGCTTCTAGTGGGAAGTAGTTTGGAAGCGTCTGGCTGACGTGTTTTATTTCTTTTCAATCGCTTTTCATAGCTCAATGAAGTTTTAAATTGCCCTAATACAGGCATGACTTCCCCTGTGTAAGTCTTCAGCTTTACTTTAGTGCCATCTAGTGGCTGTTCAGGGAAAGCAGCTTTGAAAAACACTGGATATGACTCACTATAGCCCCAGTGTCAATTTCCACTTAAATTTGTTTGCCATCCACCACAAAATTCGTTCTGAATGATTGTTTATGGTCTCCATTGTTTGCTACTGAAATCATTGCCCATTCCCATTCTTGTGCTTTCAAATACTTTGCGTTTTTCTCAGCATGATGTTTGCTTTACTTTCTGTCTGAGCATCCATCTCCCTTTCAAGCCTGCTTACTATTACCAGTTTTTCCACAACTGTGACCTTTTGAATCTTTGAAGCTGCATACCCATGGACTGTGATTCTTGCCATGACATCTGTAACGCTTCCTTGTTGTCTGTCTGCAGGAATGCACATTGTCTTTATATACTCTTCTCATATGTGAGTCTTGTCCCTGCACCCACTGTGAGTCTCTTTCCACAGTCTCCATGCTTGATGTGACCTTGATCATGGGTTTTATCTTTGGGCTTGTTTGGTTGCACTAAATTCCTCGACAACCACTAAGTAGTTGCTTCCATTACGCTTATAGCCATGTGGCCACTTACCTTTCATCCATGATATCGTTAGACACAAAGAACTGCTCAACTCCGCTATGGTGCCAATAAGAGCCGTTTCGGATGTGTACCTTTATCCTCACCACGTTTTGCAGGTTACTTTTTACTGGGCTCTTGCTTCACTGACCAAAGGTTCCAGAAACAAAACCAATTGTCTAATACATCACAGAAACAAAATCATACAGGAAGGACTTGCTATCACTGAGCAGAGACATACAGGAGAGACCTACTATCACTGGGCAGAGACATACAGGAGAGACCTACTATCACTGGGCAGAGACATACAGAAGAGACCTACTATCACTGGGCAGAGACATATAGGTGAGACCTGCTATCACTGGGCAGAGACATATAGGTGAGACCTGCTATCACTGGGCAGAGACATACATGAGAGACCTACTATCACTGGGCAGAGACATACATGAGAGACCTACTATCACTGGGCAGAGACATATAGGTGAGACCTGCTATCACTGGGCAGAGACATGCATGAGAGATATGCTATGACTGAGCAGAGACATACAGGAGAGATATGCTATGACTGAGCAGAGACATACAGGAGAGATATGCTATGACTGGGCAGAGACATACAGGAGAGACCTACTATCACTGGGCAGAGGACAGAGACATACAGGTGAGACCTGCTATAACTGGATGGGGACATACACTCATTGGACATGGGTGTGCCAGCTGCCCGTCAGCCTGCTGTATTTGGTCTTTATGAGTGCAGAGAGACCCAAAGCACCGCGAGTGTAAGGTGCTGCTGCCCCAAACACAGCATGCATGACAGTTTGACACACTCCTCCCAGACTGGGGGCATTACAGAACATCAGACTGGCTTTGTGGCAAACTCGAGAAAATCTGCCTGCTTTGAGACATTTGTGTCAGTAAAGAGATCAGTGACAGGTCCTAAGTGTCAAGTGTAATCTCAGCTGGTGTTACATAAGGATCAAAGATCTCGGCTCTCAGACACTTAGTGTAACTGTGAGGAATGTAAAAGCAGCTCTGTACATTTAACGGGGCTGAGTGACGCCCCTGTGATGTTCAGCTCAAACTCAATCCAATGCTCACAGATCGTGGTCCCCGATAGTGCATCACTGGTGTACTGCAGAGCTGGCACGTGAGCGCCCTCTGTCTACAGGGATTCATGAAAGAAACGGGAACAAAGAGGAGCTCTATTCATCAGGCCTTTCCGACCGCTCGGAGCCAGGCCAGCACATATCAGATAGCTGTTTATGCTTTGGTGAAGCGCTCGGCTCAGACGTGACGTTCTGGGAGAGCAGGATGACAGGTGTGCTGTTCCCAGACAGAGTTGATGTGCTCCGAATGCTAATTGTCACTTTATTCGTAGACTCCCATATTAACCTTTTCATGATGATTTGTTCCACACGCGGTGCTCCAGGGGAAGGGCGCAAACATGCCTGCAATTCCACGACTTGTACTGGGGGAAGTGCAGTGGGGTGTCTCATCCCAGCCCCTCCTGTAGCAGCCCGGACGTTAGGTCGTCCCAGATCCTGCATGGCCACCTCAGGGATCCCGAAATTCCAAAATGGCGTTGGTTGGACAACCTTGGGTTTGTGTTTCTCAACACCTTACAGATATTTTTAAACAAGCAAATGAAACATTATGACTCATTTGCGTCTTTAGGGATCCTACAGGAGTGATATTTTGAATCATTTGGTCCAGGCGTTCACCCCGTTCACCCCGCTCACCCCGTCTGCTTGTGGAAGTTTCACTCTGCAGGAATATGAGGGCAAACTCACATGTCCTTTTAAACTGCAGCGCTTCCAGGTCGTGTGCTGGCGTGCAGACCGGTTCGGCGTTCCACCGCTAATATGATCTATTTTTAAGTCCCGCACCCTCAGGTAAGTTTATTTCTGTTATACGGCTGTTCCAGACACCAAGCTCCTATCAAAGAGATAGCGGGCATTGTCATGGTAACCGGCCAATCGTTCGGCCTGTGTGTCGAGCCTGCAGAGGAACGGGGCCTCGTTAAAATGGGCTAACATCTTCCCGTTCGTCTGGACCAAATACAAAATGTCTACATGTTTCTATGGATCGGGAGGCCACGTCTGCGCGGATTACGAGAGGTTGGAAGGCTCCATGGTGACTCAGAGCCGTAATACTTATAAGCGGCTTGTTTGAGGGCGGGCAGAACATACACAGTCTGACACATAAGACTCTTAATTTGCACATTACGCGACCAGACGATGTCTCCCGTTATTAAATTCACTTTCGCAAGCACACACTGTCGCCTCTAAGCTGAAACCATGGCACTTTGTATAGTTTAATAAAACGGATTCAAGTGGCTGTCAGGCTGAGTTACGGCCTCCTCTTTGTACCCAAACCGTGAGCAGGGTGGCAGCAGAAGCCTTGTGCTTACGGTACCTGAACCGATCACGCTCTTATAGGACCGCAGCAGCCGCGTGTGTCTGCCTGTGCAGGTAGCAGGTGTCTGGGCGTAATCGCTAAGGTGGACCAGTTAGTACAGTAGGTAGCTGACTGGGACCGGTCTGGAGCATGTGTTGGTGACTCGATGGCGCCCCCTCAGCCCCATGAGCTTGTCTTCAGCATTCCCGAAACTCCACTGTGTCTTTCGGGGCTTGTTTCGCCGTTTTCTCTGAGAAGCCGGCAAGCCTCTCCTTCAAGGTGAAGGTCGCCACATGGAAACATCTGGTGGTGAGACCAGCAGAAGTACATATGTGATGAGCACCATTACCGCCGAATGATAATTAGCTGAGGGAATGTCATTGCCAAGGTCACTCGCTTAGAGCTGTGCTGACTCAATGCTAATCAGTCATGCCCTCATGACCACCATGACATTGTATGCAGTGGCCTCGTTGCAGGTCTAACCCTAACCAATTGGGTCGGTGTTCTGTCACGTGGATGCCAGGAAGAACCTGTATGACGTGGATAAAGGTTATTCTCAAAGGGTGATGTGTGGCTCGGAGGGTTATGTTGCTGTGGTTGTGAGCAGAAGGTCATTGGTTCAAATCCTGGAGTTGGCTAAAAGGTTTCACTTTCAGGCCCAATTTCTTCAGGGAGTGTTTGGTCTTGCCCAAAAAAATTATACTTTGGATACAAACATCTTCTCAGCTTAGAAGATGGTGCTCTAAGTGGCCACCTATGGAGTCTAATAGGTTGACCATCACTGTATCTCCTTTCTACAATCACCCCACATCAGCAGACTGAACATGCTTCCAGATACTTTCCATGGTCTGGCTTCTGTGGCGGGAGATGCTCTCTGGAGAGCTGATAGGTGGTTATTGTTTCATTCCTTAACCAACGCTTGTACCCAAAGTGGCCCCACATAATTAGGTATTTTACTGGAACTACCCCAGTTTAACAGCAGCTTCTTCTGGGAGACTTAAATACGCAAACCAGAGTCGATTTGTTCATGGACACTCCGCAAGCACAGTGGGGACAGAGCACAGTACATTCCCGTAAGAGGAAGGTCACGGGGAGGTCACATGACATGAGAAGGGACCTCAAAGCTACTTTAATAATGCATCACTGAGACCTAACATTAAATACCACTTGTGATTCTGAAGCTCTGTCGGGATACGTATAGGGAGAGCTGTCAATGAAGAGAGCCCAGGAAATGAGGAAGAAAAGCAGCCAGCTGGATACCGGTGGAGACGCCCCCAAGTCTCAGCCTCCTCTCTGTTTACATTTAACAGGTTGGGCGGAATCCATCCGTCTCCTTAAATTTGCATCCTTCGCTTTCCAGATGCATAATTGATTCCCACAGCTGCCGCTGAGTTGGCTCCTGTATCCTGAGAGTCACACGTGGGAACGCTCCGAAACGAGAGGCTGGGCTGTGGGGGGGGG